AATCGGGTGAAGCAACGTCAAAATTATGTTCCGCAGCCGTCATGGTTCTATTATCTATTATTACCGCCTCGCGCTGAGCTTCCATGGCGATGGCCCGGTCGCGAAGTCAGAATGATGATGTCTGGCTGTATGTCTTGGCGCGATATCTTGGTGTCCGATGAGTCGTTCTCCTTCTCGGGCTGCTAGCTGGGCTGACTATGCTCCGGCTCCGACTCCACGTGCTGCTAGGCTGCTGGTGCTGCTGCTCATTACTGCTCTTTCTACATTCTACTGCGTCTTTTGCTGCTGCTGGCTGCTGCTGCTCGGCGCGTCAACGATAATCACAGCTCGGCTTCACTATGGTGTCCCGGCGCCTCTCTAAGCAGGGCTTATCTCCTACCTGATTCGCCTCTCTTCTATGCTGCCGCACTCTCTCTGCCTGCACCCACTGCACCTCCTCGGTTACCCCCACGGCTTCGCTCAGACCAGTAGCGGCCCCTCCGCACATCTCTTCCTCGACCACCCTTTCCTTCACCACGCTACAAGCGCTGGCCGCCTGTCGCCACCTGTGGCTCCGCGCTGGCGTCCACCTACCCCTACCGCTGTCACCACTCCTCTACCTCCATCAACCTACGCCTTACATCACGACCGCAGCTCTGGGCCCCCTCCCACCTCCCCTGCCTCCACGCACCCCTACGCTTCACCACCTCCTCGTACGCTTCCATCACCCCACCCTTCATCACGCAGCTCTGCCCCTCCCACCTCCCCTGCCTCCACCACCCCTCCCTTCAACCCACCTCCATCTACCCTCCATCACCCTAACCCTATCAATGCGACCCCGCTACTGCCGCGGCTCCACCTCCGCCTCCTCCATCACCGCTCCGCTTTAAGCACCAGCTCGGCCCGGCGTGCGTCCCCGCGTCTGTCAGCGTGCCGGTCCGTCGGCGGGTGCACCGCGCACAACCAGCGCAGCCTCCGCGTCGTATCGCGCATCTGTACGGCCACATCACTCGTAGGCTGCTCTGGCTCTACGCCTCCGCGCCGCGCGACGGCGGCGCCACCTATGGGGGCTCGCAGTCGACGCTGCGCCAACGCGCGGCCCGCGGCGGCGTGCGTCGTGCGCGGGGGTGGACGTCGTCAGCGGGGGGAGGGAGGCTGCTGTCGCCGCGACGCGCCGAACACTGACCTCGACTTTGTCGTACGTAAAGCCGTCGGATTCCGGCGGGTAATACGGGCCGGGTCCTCCCTCGAGAGCGCTGTTGTCAGGCGACGACAGCGGGTAGCCCTCCTGGTAGTCGGTGGAGGAGTTGAACGTGGCATTGGTGGTCTAGCGGCGCAGCAAACACGGAGCAAGCGCAAGAGAAAAAAACACGCGTAAAAAAAAACACATGCGGCGCGCGGGCAAAGAAGAAACGAGACGTGCATGGCGTGGCGGCGCCGTCGCGAAACGTCGGGAGCGCCAGAACGCTCTCGTGTCGTCGCGCCAGCGCGGCGGAGACACAAGAACGTGCGGCGCGATCTCGGCGGACGTTTCGCGACTGCGCCTCGAAAATGCAATATACAATAAAATGCTAAACGACGAACGAAACAAGCACACGCTACTACCACCTCGATTACAACGTGAAATAAACGTGAAAATTAAGCACAAAAAACACTAATAACTATAACAGAACGTCCGCTAAACGCCGGGTTTGTCGATGCACACAACAAACAACAAATAAAAATGTGTGCACACAGAGAGGCAGTTTAGCATATATAAAAAAAAAACACAATACTACGATAAACACTTATAACTACTAACTAAACGAAAAAAAAGAACAAAAAAACACGGCCGCATAAAACGATGACCACAGGCAGGGGCCACCGTCGAGGGATCAGGCAGTCGACCAGGCACGACCGCCCGGAGGAAGGGAGCAGTCCAGACTTTCCAAGCAGAACGCAGCCGTGGCTCTTTCGTCCGAGCTGCTGCTCTTCCGCGCTGCGACGGAATCGAGTGTTTTTCTCGGCCCCCGACGCGACGGAACTTTCCTCCGCTCGCCGAGTTTCCACGTTCGTTCGTTCGAGTCCTCTCTTCGTGCAAGCTTCACCCTCGTCTCTTGTCGCACGCACGACTAGCCGCTCATTCCTCGCGGTCTCTTCTCATCCCTGTTGAAACGTCGCACGATCGCAGCCCGCAACTCGTGGGCGGGGGTTAGGGGGCGGGGGTCAGGGGGCGGGAGGGGCAGAGGGCTCACTTACCGGAATCGTCGTGCCGGTCAGCTCCAGTCTTCGTCGTCGTGACGACCGTCTTCGGTGACTGTCGTCCAACCGTCCCCGGGCTCCTCTTCTTCTTGTCGGAATCCGAGGTCGCTGCCGCGAATCCTTGTGCGTCCCTTCTGCCCTTCTTTGCCTGCACGGGACAGGAGGTGTACTGATGATTTAAAGACACGAAGCCCCCGCGCAGCATCCGGGAACTACGAGCCGCGCAGCATGCCGGGAAACTAACGAGCGCAGAGCATTCCGGGAACTAACGAGCCGCGGAAGGCGGCATCCAGGGAACTAAACGAGCGTGCGCAGCATCCGGAACTAACGAGCGCGGGAGGGGCAGGCATCCAGGAACTACGAGGCGCAGCATCCGGAACTAACGAGCGCGAACTATGCCGGGAAGCTAACGAGCGCGGTGCAGCATCCGGAAGCTAACGAGCGCGGCAGCGAATCGCAGGAACTAACGAGCGCACACGACATCCAGGAACTAACGAGCGCGCAGCACTCCGGAAGCATAAACGAGGCGCGCAGCATCCAGGAACAAAGCGAGCGGCAGGCATGCCAGGAAGCTAACGAACGCGCGCGGCATCCGGAAACTAACGATGGCGTGCGGCATCCGGGAACTAACGAGCGGCGCAGCATCCCGGGAACTAACGGGCGCGCCAATTACTAATCCCGACATGACATGACCCCGACAACACAGTATGACGAGAGAGGTAGGGATTTTTGTAAATTCAGAACCGAGCACTCGTGTAAATAAGTGAGATAATTGGTCTAAAAAATATTGGTCGGAGGTTATCAGAATATCGGTGCCAACGGCACTCACTCCATATCCGAACGCGCTTGAAGACATGTTCGCGGGTGATTTAAGATTCTGCTCGATCCGAAAATAAGAATTGGTGTCGTAAAAAAGAGCAATTGCTACGAACGCAGCTGTATATAATAAATCTGTTACGCACTTTGTCAACTATGTGCGACTATGTTGTTACGCTAACACCCTGCCTCCACCGCTTTGTCAATACCAAACCAATCTGAGACTAGAAGTGTTCCGATAAAGTACCTTGTGACGTAGACACACGTGACTACAACTGCAGTCCGACGCTGCCGCTTAATAAGACCCTGCTAGCGCCTGCCTAGGCCGACACACGTGAGTTGAAAGTGTGACGTGTGAGACTGCCTTTAGTGTGCTATGTTAGCCGGGGAACCTTTTACAAGGCTCCCAGCTTAAAAAGCTCTCTCTCTCTCTCTCGCTCTCCACCATATTTCAGACAAACTTAGCACACTAGCCGACCAGAAGGCACCAGGCTCACCATCGGTGAGGCATGCACAACACTGAAAAGGGCGCAGTCACGGAACCTTCTTCTTCATTTTTTATCTTGTTTTTCCTTATACCAGCTATCCTTGTCCTTTCTTGCTCCTTTTGCCCTTCTTAGTTTTTGTCGTTGATAACACGTTGGGTATAGGCGTTGTCGTACACGAAAATGGCGGGTTATGTTCGAGCAATAAATGTAGGTGGGTATACAGGGGTATACTTGTGTAAAATTGTGCACCGAGGGCGTATACTTGGTGTAGCGAATTAGCTTGAGGTGTCCGCCCCTAACAATCCTGACACAGGTCCCGCAAATAATTTTCCACCGCGCCGCCCGGCGGGGTTGAAAATAACAACATTGGTATACTTGGTGTACATGGCGTATGGTCGATACTGTAGGGGGTATACAGCGGTGTATACCTACTGTGTGAGTCATGCATCTGAGTGGGCAGCAGGGCGTAATACTTGGGTCGTATTCGAAATACGTTGGTGTCTAAATCTGACGAATATTTCACCGGAGGCGCGCGTTGATACAATGGGTATACTGGGTACATT